ATCAGTCGACAAGCCTGCGTCAACAAAACTGTTAATAACAATTATTTAAATCATTTTTCCTTTTCTGGGGAAGAGGCTCCCATGATACAACTACACTGATGATGTCATTTTGGACTATTTTATCACTTACCACAGACAAAGCAGATTGGAAACACTCTTGGCCTGTGTAAAGTGATAAAACATACCTAAGATTCGGATTCCTGGTCCTGGTTTTTAGATACCTAGATCATGCTAAAGCCTAATCCTAAAATTGGAGCTCTTTAGAGCTTAACGACAAAGTTAACAACCACTCGTGCCTTTCGGTTAATTCATGTTATTATTAGTAAGGGATAACAACACAACGGGATATTTTCCTAGAATGAATGATAAGGTTCCTTTGTTCTGCAGCCAGTCACAAATAAATAATTAATTAATATTTTTAACGATTTAATCTTAATTCTAACGGTTTTCCTGTTCACATTTTATCAATTCCTATGAAACAATGAATAAACAAGCATACACATGATACAGTCATAAATAACTTTATATGTAAGTCGAAATAAAAATAACTTTAATGTTGTTCATTGGTCCTGAACAGTAGAAATCGGATGCATGTAAGTAATCTCGATCCATCGTTGCAGTCTTTAACAACAGTGATATAGAAAAATTCACTAATTGATAAAGGCACCTAAAACAGATCAGGGATGTGATGTTTTAGATCCACTGAAACCTGCTAAGATGGTGGCGTTCTGATAGTTGTGTTGGTGGCAATCCAAGTCTATACTAGTTGATCAATGATCTCATAAATGGAAATATAAGATCACTAAGCACCTAGAGTAGCCCAAGATTCAGTGTTCTTTTCGCCAGATTGTGCGAATTATTTTTCTGTTTTCATGACGATTGGCTTTTCTTCAAGACTTGTCCTTCTAATTACTGCAAGTCCAGTGTGACTGTTTATATTTCTAAAACAGGCTTGATTATAAAAATGCATTGAATAAAGCGGGATATCCCGGGTCGAAAAATTTAAACTGATTTTAAGCTAAATGATCTGCATTTGAACTTATTGATCTGTATTTGAACTTTTAAAAACATTTTCATCTGTATTTGATCTACTATTCACATTATTTTTGATCTGTTTTAAGTCTAAATAACTTTTTAGTAAAATAATTGAGCAGCTATGAATATTTCATGCTGTTTCTAATCTAATGAAACTAAAAAGTTTTAAAAGTTTGATCGGTTTTTAGTCTAGTTAATTTGTAGATGGACTTTATGTATTGTTTTCAAATTCAATATGAAATCTTATATTGTTTTTGATCTACAATTTTCACTCTAAATGTTCAAAAGCCAAAAGTCGACTAAGATGGTGACATAATTTTTTGGACTTAAAAGTATCCTAATATAAAATTGAGATGAAATGTATGTGGCATCAAACTATTCATAACGTGATTGGTTGAATATATCATAAGCATGAAAATATATGCAAACTCTATAGTCAAAGCGCGCGCTTGCGCGCGTAAATTCAAATTCTAGTCTCATTAAAAATTATAAGTCGCATTTATTTGAAAAAATAAATTAATTTATAATATATTCATTCATGCGCTCTCTTATTTTATGAACTGAACGTCGATTATAACCTCTTACATCTGTCATATTTATTTGTCATAGCTCAACATTTCATGGATTATAAAAGTTTTGTAACTGCGAATATTAGTTGCAGTGATAACTAATAAATTTGTAGTAATATACGTTTATAAAATAGTTCTCATCGTTTAATAGAGCTCAAAAACGTAATGTGTAGTTTGAAGCGTTTAAGTACAAAATGAGCGGGAAGTTGCAGGGATGGCCTTTAGGGTCAACCGTCATCCTAATTTTTTTTTTCTGTGGCTAACTATAGTTTACTTTTTAATTCTTCATATTTATTATGATATTGCTTCATTGATGTTGCATTATTTTCATGTTTTGTAATAAAAAACATATTTTTTTTATACGCCCTTTTGGCTTTAAGAAAAATTATCCTAAAGCCAAAAGGGAGTATACCTTTGAAATACGATCTTTTGGCGTTAGTAATTCAAAATTTTTTTTACTGGTCTTGACGTTTTAGATGATTTTGAGTTGGTTGGCAAAAATATTTTTTTGTACGCTTTTTTGGCATAAAGCCCTTTGTTACTGTAGAAGTACGCCCTTTTGGCATTTGCCGCACGATATTTGTACTTCAAATTTTCATTGTCGAAAATTGTTCCCTTATTGCCACCCACGCATATGTTCTTCTAATTTTTAAATGTTTTTATTTTCTTTTGAGCTTATCTCAAGTAACAATATATTGTTAAATCAGTGAAATGATTGAAATTTCTTTCGATATTATAATACATTATGTATACATATTATAATTATGTATACATAATCGTTAATCCAACCCGGATTACGGCTTCAGTTGAAAAGTGGCTTATCTCTACTTAAACCTTATAGTGTTTTTATTTAGCAGGATTAAATCCTACTGTAGTGAAGTTTGTTTAAACGACAAAATAGAACAAAATTAAATTTAGGAAACAATATTTAACTAAAGACGGTTTTGACATCCGTTGATAATAGTTATCATGGTAGTTATGGTTCGGGTAGTTAACAAAATAAATAAATAAACAACTTTTAAAAGTTTCAGTTTAATACTTTTGTATTTTGAATTTTTGCATCTTCCATTTTTGATATTTTGGTACTTAAGATTATAGAATAGAGAAAATAATCTTTACTTTCACTTACTTTATATATAAGATTTATAGTTATTCTCATGAATACTTGAGAGAATTTGACAAAAAACATATTTTTCAAACGAAAATATTCAATTTTCTATATAAACGTAAATTAATTAACTACTGAAAATTCACTTTTTATTAGCATTATTTCAATACACAGTAAAAAAAATATTCTTTAGACAAAGAATTTTTAACCCAAGAATATATTGAAATTCATTATTTAAATTAATTGATTAATTTCTTGATAAAAGAATAATTTATATATCCCTTTATTATATTATTCCTTTATTATATTATCCCTATTGTTCCACATTTTTTAACAAATATAAATAATGCAACATTTACGTAACAGGATATTTTGGTAGGAAAGGATTGAGAAAGGATTGTGGAGAGGAACTTCTTAATGTGAGTGTATAGAATATGTGAGAAAAAAAAAATTATTAGATAGCTCGGACTGGTCTGAATTGTGAATAGTACGGGCAAAAACAGATTAAATTCTCATATAAAATACATAAACATAATAAAATTAAATTGAATGAAAAATATTAAAAAATTTTATTAATCATAAAACAGACTAAATTTTTTGACCCGGGATAGAAAGATATAAATAAAGATTATTAACTCAAAGAAAGTATAAGTAAAAGCGGTAATTCTGTTACGGTGACGAATGTTCGATTCTTATTTTGAAACTCAAAATTGATAATGCAGTCGAGAAATGTAATATCCTTAGAGAGTTACAATACTAAAGTTTCGAAGTGAAGCTGCTCATCATATTACCCACTATTTTCAACATAATTCAAGATTCCCAAGATCTAGGATACCTAAGTTTGCTACGTTTTCTACACTTCCAAGCTTGTACTTATATGTTTTATAACTTCTGTTGATGTAACAGCACAAGTGTTTTATCATAATGAGTTTTTAAAGGTAATATACCATAAACTCTGATAATTACAGAGAGATGCAAGTAAAGTCAGGAAATTATTAAAAGATGAAGCTTACCTTAAGTAAAATATTGTGAAAAAATATAAGCTCTATTTGGTCACTTTTCAGAATTAATTAATAAATCCACTGGGAGCAGGACGCTTCTGTCATGACCAATGGTCAAGTACAAACTGGAATGAATCAATCCTTTTGTGGAATTTATACGAAATAGAGAAGGTAATGAAGAATAGTTAACACGAGTAATGTATTTTTTTTTAATTAACATAACCATTAGGCATAACTGTGGTTACGTTATCAGGCGAATTTTTTCAGTGATAAATATAGAATTGTTAATTAAACAAATAAATGAGTCATTGTAGTACCTACTCTGCTTTATGATTCGATTAGTGACTGAATAAGATTCACTATAGGTTATAAGTTTTCAGAGAGTTGTCATTCGTTATACATCTTTGGAAAGCCGCCATCTTCACAGTAACGTCGTTAGTTACTGATCATGTGTGCGGCCTGGGCTTTTTTCATGTAAATAATATATATATTTATAATTTTAAAAAACCCACGTGCAAGTACTGTTAATATGCTTTTGTGAAGTCGTCAAACCAATTCGTTGAAGCAGTGAGACTTTCGGATGCTTGACCATTATCATCACATCACAGCCATCTTAATTATTACGATAACAATCATTTGGCTGAACGTCGAATGCATTTTTAAGATTGTTGTTCGAATGCGAGCTTGTAAACAACATTTGGTTATTATGGCATCAAAACGTGAATGACAGCAATTTTCACGTAAGGATAAATGCAGCGATGATGGCCGCTGCTTGTGTTTTACAAAAATAATAATCTCACCAATTAGTTAGAAGATGACGATATAACTGTATAGTGTGTAACAATAACTACTATTTAAATATGTTCCTAGGTAGCGAATGCGTCAACATTTATTTGCGTATCTTCAGTAGCTAAATTGATTTAGACTAGGGCTCACTCATTCAGATTCAGAAGTGATAGCTGTTATTGAGCATGATTCTTCTAATAAGAATCATTTTATTCTATTATATTGTTAGGTCTGAAAAATAAGGGAAATAAGAAAGACTCAGGTAAATTTTGAATGATATATATTTCAAAAAATTATCTCTTGAAACTATGATTGTAATACAATTATACAAAAATAGGCCTTAAGGAGAATTTGGTATGCGTATATAATTTCATTCAACATTTTTTCAGGCTTACACCGATAACAAAATAATTTGTTAGTGCCAGAACACGACTCAGTAGTATGCAGACAATAGTCAGTAATTTTCATATAGCGCTCTCTACTGTCCCAAACATTTTAACCTCATTTTCTTCGGAAGGTAAAATTACTAAAAGAAATAGTAATGAATCCTGTTTCTCTTTTTCTATGCATTGATCTTTCTTTTTCTTTGATGCGTTTCATTTGCATAAAGTGAGGCTCGGATACCTCAAGGAATTCTTCGACTCCAACTTTTTTCACTACCTTCTGATAACACTCATGCATGTCTTTCATTTCAAATAAAACATTAGATGGGAAAAGGGTAACCAAATCCCCGTAAAACTTTTTTCTCGCAGAAACATACATGAGGTAATCAGTCAAATCTGGATTTTTCCTTAATCTTTCTACACAATCAATGAACAGTTTATGTAGTGACAAAACTCAAAGTTTTTCCACAGCACATAGTTTTTGCTTTCAGTAGATATTGAGGGAAGTTCTGTAAACATGGTCATTATGGGGGGGTTATCAGAGATCATGTCCAATGTTATCAGTATGGAACTCAAAGTCACGCGCCCCACGTATTGATAGTTGATCCATCTCGAGTCCTTAAATTGACCTATCCGGTATCCATGCACTGAATAACCATTCAAGTCCATGAGTTGAGCGCGTGATTTTCAGCTTAATACTGGTATTATCCGATATATATATATATATATATATATATATATATATATATA